GTAGTCTTACCATTGGCCTTGCTTTTAGAAGCCAGTGAAAGCATTGGAGGAAATCTATGCAGGCATGGGGTAAACGTGCAAACATTCAGGATTATTTTTATGCTCAGCCCTAACTGCACTGTGCAATCAGAACAGGGATTTGCATTTGTCACAGTCCCTCTAACATCCAACATCATAACACTACTTGGCATGTGAGCTTTTAATAAAAAATCAATACTATGTTTTTGAGAATCGACGCAGTATTACAAAGTGTAATATTGTGATACTTAAGCGTATCAATATTTTGTTACACCCCTAGTGTGCGTGCAGGTGAAATGACTGAACTATGGCTATTGCCTAGCCTGCCATTAAGAAACAGGTCATGAGGTAGTAGGTCATTAGCAGCACTTAATGGAGAAAAATTGATCTGTTAGCGAGTTGATATTAACTGTATTGTAATTTTTTACTTAGGTTACTTCATGTAGTGGTGTTGCTGTCACCTCTAGTGTCCAGAGTGTGTCAGAAAGGACACAATATCTCAGCCGGGCCTTCTTTTTTGTCTTGTTTGTTGTGTTGCCTAAAGCAGTGTCAATTCTTAATGAAAAAGTAATACTAATAAAATAGAGAGGAAGATGGTACAAGAAGATGTGGCTCAAACATCCAGGTAACTAGAAAAAAACCTCAGCAGTACATTCCATCTCTGCTCAATTGTCCTCATCCAATTTCCATCATCTGCTTGCTCACAAGTAGGAACATCATTTTGGGTACAATGCTGCAAAATGTACAGTTCTTATTTGTGTGTATGCTGCAGCATATCTCACCTAGCACCAAGGGCTGCTGTTTGCCATTGATATTCCAGTTCAGTGTGCACGTCAAAAGCCCTTTGTCTGACCATGCGGCACAGGGGAGACAATGTTTGACGGCGCATTTTTGAATTTAATTATCCACAGCTGCTTCAGAGCAAATGGAATGATCTGTAGGATCAGCAGATGTGACAGAGCTTTTCTTGAGCTGCACACAAAATGCATATGCACAGACACAAGTATCCATACGCACACTACACGTGCATACATCTGCTACAGAACTGTCCTCACACTGTGACATAGAGAAACTTCTGGGGCTTAACCGCATCTGACAAAATCTGTCTGCTGGCAAAAATGTCCACTGCTTCTCTAAATGTCATATACTGAGATCCTGCAGTGTCTGCGACTACAGCTTCTGTGTTTCCTTGGATCAGGGTCTTATCACACAGTGGAGCTACAAGCAGCGAGTCCCTCATCAGCAGGGCAAATGTTCTTCCAGTCTAATTAGTAGAAGCTCGGCAGTGTGTCCCCTTGTCTCTCGGAGGGGAACATATCAAAAACAACAAACTCCCTCTCAGTGGAGCTGAGTTAAAAACAAAACAAAGTTTGTTGAGATTGCTTTTAAACATTTAAGGGATTTAAAAAGTGTGTGAGTCTAGCCTCAGGTATAAATATATTGAGGCGTATTTTAGTTGCTAAGTGGAGCAAGGGTTTAGACACAAAGTACTTTGCTTCCGGAGTGAAGTGACATATTCTGACTCTTTCTCTCCATTGTGTATGTGCTGGTTTCTTTTAGTAAACGTGCAGTGCAATGCATATGGTTTCAAATTACCATTGACTTCATCACAATAACACTGTGAGAGCTGAGACTGAAAAGATTGTGGCATTATCTAACAAATAAAAAGGCAGTCAGTCAGGCAGACAGTTTGCTGTGCCTCCAGTTGTGCTCTCATCCACTTTGGCTTGCATAAAAGGAAATGAAAGGGGAAACTTATCTTTGTCAAAAACTGTCAGAGAGATGAGACAAAATGGTCTTAATGCTTTGGACAAATCTCTTATGTTTCTATGCAATTATCAACACAGTTTCTTGCAAAACGTGTCCAGGAAATCTCTGATTCTAGTGGGTAATGCCCAGTCTCAATTTCCCTGAAGCCAGACAGAGCTCAGCACCAAATGGGTATTGACAAGGACAAGAGTGAATATGCACAACAAAATAAAGAGGAAAAACAACTGAGGACGGAGACAGGGCTAGTGATGGGCTGTGCGACTCGACATCGGATATCCAGCCTGGCATTGTTTTGGCACTGCCTAGTGTTTGAACTTGTAAGAGGCATTTATAAGGACCATTGCCGGCAGCTTAGACAGGGAGGATTATCAAACGACACTTTTAGCCTCTTAAGCAAGCCGCAATTGCAGCCATTATGGTTCAAGAGAGCACGAGACAAAGGACTTAGAGCGAGGATGAACGTGAGTGCAAGGACTTAACTAAATGTCAGACAGCTTGTGTATTGTTAACATAACTGTTAGTGCCATTGTTTCTGTTGCTTGAGTGGCTGCTGTTCATGTCCTCTTTTCTCTGAGCAAAATGGAAAAGGGCCTGAGGGTTGATGGAGTGAAAGGAGAGACGGAGTGAGAAAACAAGGAGGAAGAAGTAAGAGCAGCCACCGGTGGCTAACTGCTGCCGGACGTTTGTAGCTAAGCGTTTAATCTCCCACGCTTGGAGAATACAAACGATCTTGTAATCGTTCCCAACCTTGACATGAACAGCAAGGTCGCAAGGGAGACGGACTGTTTTGCATTTCCCACAGATGCTTTACCCAGACATGCAGAACAATTAGTAAACTGGATAAAATGAAACTGAGTCTGTCTTACTCCCTTCCTCCTCTCCTGCCACCCTCACTCCCCTCAGGGTATTTGTCTGGCACACCCCAACCCCAGAGCTTTGTTTAGCAGATTCCTAATGCTTAATTGTGACAAAGGAACAGTTGGTGCTTCCACGTCAGGTCAGACTGCATGTAGGGCTGAAATGATCAACTAATCTATCGATTATTTTTTATTAATTAATTGTTTAGTTTATAAACTGCTAAATGTAACTAAAAACATAGCAGTTTACAGGTTCCTAGGCACTAAAGATGAGGTCTGGCAGTTTTGCTTGATACAGTGAATGACTTATACTGTTAATTGATTAATGGTTATGTCAATTGAGAAAATGATGGATGGATTAATAATTTCAGTAGTATCTATGTGTTGTTGTTTGACAGTGTGTCTGCAAGCACAGAGTGTGTGTATTAGACGGTGTCAGAGCACACGAGTGTATGTTTACCTGCATACTGATGCCTCAGAGTGAGTGGGAGGGTGCTGGTGCACGTGCATTTGTGTGCCTCCGTGTCGGCTCTGCAATCGCCTTTATGTAATTAAGGGACTTTTGTCCTCAGGCAACAGCGCATTACCTCTATTATTGAATATGCTGAGAGTTAAGATATTATTATACTCGAGGCAAATTCAATTTCTGTTTTCAGCCGTTTGATTATAAAAGTCTGAACTGAGCCTTTTTAAGTTGAGCTTTGGCTTTTAGCCTTGTTCTACACAGGGATAATAGAGCTGACCCTTTCTCAGCGTCTTAACCGACTCAACCAGCAAATAGCATCAACACAATGGCCACTGAGTTCCTTTGGGATATGAATTAATTTCCTTGAAATGGTAAAATGGTCCTCACAGTGTCTCATAGCTAAAAAATGGCAACATTAGATTTTGTTTTACTTGGTTAATTGTTAAGCTGTTAGAATTGTGGCTTCCTTTTCATTATTTTTAGAGTTGTTTTTCTCTTTTACCTTGACACTTAGTCTAGTTTAGTTATGTGGTGCAGCTTATTTCTCACAGTGCTGAAGCCAGCCTTCATCTTTGCCTTGGATTCCAAATAACAGAACTTGTTAACATCTCAGGTGGAAAAAGAAACAGACCAAAGGTTTTATATTTTATCTTTGTTAAATGTGTAGCTGCATGGAGAGTATTGTGTGGGAGTTCAGGGGGTTAGGGAGGCTGAGGAACAAAACCGAATAACTCTCAAACAGTCCCTTACATAAAGTATGCTTAGAATTTTTATTTCCCAGTGGGCCCATAAATCCAGCAATCAGGTCACAACAAGGAGGGGGGTCCTAGTCAAGCTCATGGAAAGCTTAGTGCAAGGTGGAGCATCTGGCTGGATCAGCAGGTTTTTGACTTACTTTAAGTGCCGATAGATTAAATCAGGGGGAAGAAGCGAGACGTCCGAGGTGGCGAGTGGCTCTGATGGGGATGCTGCCCTGTGCGTTTCTGCATGCGTGTCTCTGTAGGGCAGGAGTTCGCACATGCAGCTGTTGTTATGAGGATGGTGAGCTGTGTGTGTTGACGGAGACTAGAACAGGAAAGGCAGAAGGTGTGAGCTCTTGAGTTTTAAGTGTACCTACGCTCTGATGTACGTGCGTCTTTTTGGTGTTTTGTATACAAATTTGCACTTGAATGTGTGAACAATGGTTGGAAAGTGTTAATAAGGGCACCTGGCTGTTTTATGTGTAGGGAGTTAGGTTTTCTGTTAAAAAAAGGATTCTCCTTGTTAGCACTGTGTTATAACTGTGATCAGGACTGGAAGTGTTTGACTTGAATTTACGCATTTTTTATTTTTGGAGCAAACTGTGTAATTCATCTTGTTGAAATTGGTACAGCATGTTTCCTTTGTTGTACTTTTATGTGGAACGCAATGTTTAACTTGAGATCACTTCAACTTTTGAGACTTTGGATGATTGACTCTTGGGAGTGAAGGTGACAGACTGGTTACAGTTTAGGGAACAGTTTGATATTTTATTTTCAGCTTTTGTGTGGTGCTTCTGTGCACACAGTTCTTTTTTCATGAGAGATTTTTGCAACTGACTCTATAGTACTTGGACACCATTATTTAATTTTCAAATGAGGTAAATCTGCTGGTTATGAATCAGCAAGGATGCAATACTTTTTTCTGTACTGCTGAGACTGGTAGATTTTATTTTTAAGGTGGACAATTTCAGCCAATCGTGTTCCTGTTCTTGTGGCTCTGTTTCAGAGTCATAAAGACAAGTAAAATGTGTGGATGTAAATCACTACTCTTCCTCTCTTATAAGACTGGATTTTACATAACACATTTTAAGAACTGACTTGTTTACCTTTGCTCTTTTCTTAAATAAGCTGTTTCTCCTGCTCTTCTAGCCCTTTCAGATGCAGATGAAGATCCCTGTCGGAGGACCTACTGTGGACGGGGTCGACAGTGTGTGCTGATGGCAGAAACTGGCCGTGCTGAGTGTGTTTGCCAGGAAAAATGCCGGCCCTCCTTCGTGCCGGTGTGCGGCTCAGACGGCAGGTTTTATGAGAACCATTGCGAGGTTTACCGCGCCGCCTGCCTGGAGAGGAGAAGAATTTATGTGGTGCACAGCAAGGACTGCTTCTTCAGAGGTATGACACACTGACACTGCAGAGGCCACACTGTAAAAAAGATTTAGTCCAACATGCAATTGAAGGTACCATCAGCAGCAGCAGGTTTACAAAGTCCAATTTACTGGAATATTTTGCTAGAATTATTATGAATAAATAAATTAAGAAGCTTGCATGTCATATCCATAATGCGATTAGTGGCAGGTGGTGCCATCTATCATGGCTGAAAACTCTGAAAGCATTTTGGTTGGAACAATGATGTCTGTGTTTTGGGCAAAAATGCTAAATTTCCTTTGTGATTTTTGTTGGTTCAGAGTAATTATGCTTTTGTCTCAACGTTAATGTGGCGGAGGTTGGTTGAAGTTGGCATGTTGTATACAGTGCCTTTAATGACATATTGAATGGGGTTTAATCCAGGTAGTTGCAAAAAGGTAATGTTAAATCATGAATTAATTCAGATGTTTGATACCAGTATGCTGGAATGAAATGACTCCAGTTTCATTAGAGAAATTGTTGCATGTTAGTATTTGTGTGTTTGTATTTGAGATGAGCTGATATCAAGTAACCAAACATTTTTGGTTGTGAAGATTTACACATTCTTGCACTGCTGCTGCAACACAGTGATGCTGCATAGTGGCTGTTTGTCTTTTATACCCGACTGTCTACAGATTAACACTTGGATGCCTTTTGTGGGTGAAAACTGCCCCCAGATGATGATCTGATACCTGTGTGGTGAAGTCTGAAGCAGTTTGAAGGCTGCAGGGGCTTTGACTTTAGTTTGATGTCGACACATTTAAACAGAAATAGAGTTGTACAGACAAAGCTGCCGCCACCTGTTACAAGCATCAGTCACTGGGGATATTGTGCCGTTTCTGTGAGCCACCTTACCAGTCCAGATGAAAGAATGAAATCATTTGTAGTGTGGCACTAAAGCTCTGGCTCAGGGTGAAGTTTGTTTGGGAAGCGATAGCTAAGCGCTGACACTGGCACTCAGACAACAAGCATTTTTATCAGATGCTGTATTCGTCGCCTCTGTGTACTCTGCTACTGTAATCACGCTCCTCTCAGTCCCAGTTAGCACGCTTACTTGGCAGTTGGTCTTAATTCAGACACTGGCATCTAAATCATTTATAGTGGCACCCTAAATGTTGATCAAATGATCGACCTAATTGTGGAATTTTAATGGCGACTTTTCACTCAGGAGGTAAACACTGTTAGAGCAGTGTGCAGATGTCTAGCAGGCTGTTGCGTGCTCCAAGAACTTAAACATCTGTGTCATAAATCTGCTGTTCTGCCTCTACTACTTCATTATTCTGGTACTTACAAATTACCAACAGGCTACTGGTGATCCACAGTAGCCTGTTGGTAATTTGTAAGTACCAGGATAATGAAGTAATTTATAGTAAATCATTAGATTAATGTTCACTCTCCGACTATTACTCATTAGCAAAAGAGTACTCTCAGCATCAGCAGTCAGCATTATCATGCAGAGAGCCCAGTCGTGTCATCATGACTTCGATTTAAAAATAGAAATCTAAGATGAAATATTTTAAATCAAGGTAGTTGATACTTGTTTTTGTCTGTTTGTTCTTCTTCCCGGGCAGTTTTTGTGTCAGGTGTCTCTTGTTTTAAGCTTTTTGTCTTTAAAGGTGCAATGTGTGAGATTTAGTAGCAGCTACTGGCGGTTTGCAGATTGCAACGTACAGCAAAGCTCTCAAACGTTATATTAAACAGACCATTTCACAGTGATTACCATAAATATAGGACAAATTGCATCAAGGATTTCCATCTGGAAAAGGCCACACCAACATTTATCCTCGTCCTGTCCCATTTCTTCATGTCTTTGTTTCTTTGACAGTGGAGACAGGGGGTCCGCTCCTATGTAGATATAAAAACCTCATTCACACTGTGCATAATTTTATTTAATTTCATTATCTTAATAAGACTTGTTGCTGGTTGCTGAGATTATAATACTGGTTCTGAGTAACTTAATGGTTGAAATTAAAATCACCAGAATTATAAAGCTGTTTGATCAAGTATAAAACTGCTTTCTATCTGTGGGTTCTTGAAGCTAGATATTTTTACTTGTTTTTAAAAATCTTGGCAAGTGAACTTTTCCGGTTCTCTTGGCAGATAGTTTAGTTTATTTTAAGTCATATTTCCCCTATTTAATTTTTTTCTTGTTTTTAGATAGCTGAGTTTTTGCAGTGTAGGACTAAGTTTAACGCAAACATTATTACATGTTTATCCTTTTACTAGTGGCTGGCAGTGGTTGGCAGTCACTTTCAAGTACTGCTAGCAGGCACGCGGGTATGTGCCAGCATCTCCTCCTCTTTAAATTTAGGTTTCCAGGTTCGACTAGTATTAAGTTTCTTTAATCATCCCTCAGGGTGTGGAGTGGATGTTAAAATGTGAAGGAAAGCTATAGCTATATAGAGTGCATGGATTCATGCCATGCATAAGAACACAGACACACACCTACACACACAAACAAACATGGCATATAACATTTTTAGTCATATCACATTATGGAGAGAAGGGCTCCTGGCAGACACCACCATGCATGACTAATCCACATTAGGGATGTTCAGACGGTACATTAGGCTTAAACTCGAGATGTCTGAATGCAAACCAGCAGGAGATGGAAAATGCTGAAAATCAGTCAGATGTCACGAGAATTGTGTGTGTGTGTGTGTGTGTTTGTGTGTGTGAGAGTGAGTGGGGAGTAATTATTGCACCTGACGAACAAAGACATCTTTGGAAGGTTTGTCTCACACTGCTGTTCTGGAGTCATTATTCACATTTTTTTTTTTTTTTACCCTAAACAGCAGAGGAACCGGAGAAATGGTTCAGTGGCTGTGCAGTGAAATGTGAACACTAAAGCCTGGGTATCTCATCCAATGAGCTGCTGCAGAATGAGGCACCTCGATGCCTCTTTCTCATTACCCTGTGAATCGAGTTTGTGTCAGTATTTAACTGACCAGGTGCTCCAGTACTTTGATATATAATTACCAAGTAAGTCACCATAAAAATACTAGAAAATCTATCTGCCACAGTGATAACACAACATTACTGAACAGATCACAGGCATCACTCGCTGAGTGCTATATTTCTGTTCCCTTGCAGTGTTTAGAGTAGATGAAACAGCGTTTTCTCCTCTTTTTGAACATATTGATTTTTTTCTCGTTTCCTTTCTGTCTTTTTTTTTTTTTGTTATATATGTTTTGGTGCCTATTTTTGGGAGCTAGAAACTTATTAAATACTAGATGGCAAAAAAATCTCACTTATATTCTCAGTCCGACACCAAAACCCACACAGACAAAAATGGATCTCACGAGTCCCTACAGCTGCAGATTTAAAAAACACTTTTTAATAGCTTTGCTTTCAAATTTGATAAACCTGCAGTAAAAGCTCCACTGTGGAGGCCAGTTTCCTTGAGTTTAGGGCTATGGCCAAAGTCATAGTCTCAAATTTGGTGAGCACTTATGCAAGCTTTCATTTTATCATACCTTGATTATTGTGATTCACTGTGCATAGGCAGTTCAGAACTCTCTGCTATAGCAACAGAAAGAGGAACCACATTTGTGTTGTGTTGACCTTCATTTACTGGCTCCGACTTACAGAGTCTATTTAGGGTTTTGTTTATTCTCAAAGCTTTGATTTGGTGCACATTCACATCCGCCTCTGTCACTTTTCCACCTCCAGGTCGCTCACGACATCTGACCAAATGCTGTTTTAAGATGAAAGGTGACCTTGTCTTTGCTGTTCTTGCCCCAAGGTTGCAGAATAGCATTTTTTTCATTCCTATTTTTCCTCATCTGAAGTTTGTCTGTTGTGGCTGTCGAGCTTTGTAAGTTCCACATTCTAGTTATTTACACATTGATTACACATTGATTGACAGGGATCCTTTGAAATAAACCGCACGGCGGATGGTGACCACATGAACTTTTTCTACAGGACAGATGTACCAGTCACTTGGCTGTTGTGGTCATATTATGAGAATACTACAGAGTTTGTGTTTTGTTGTTACATTATGCAAAAAGCCAAAACCAGCCTTTAGAGTTGTTTTATTTTGAATCTGTGATGCATAGGCAGCTTGTGTTAGGCCATCTCTCTCATGCAGTGTGCATAGTTGTATTCCAGTACTATTGGTATCTTTTTAACATTTTGCTTTGTTTTTATTTATATTATTTGCTGCATAATTAACTGTTTTTTAATGTTTGTTTTTTTTTTCTTAAAGAACAGATGGTTTTTTTTCAAGCAGCGAGGGCAGCTCTCCTGTGGTTTTACATTTTGAATTAAGTTTTTATTTTATTTTTTCCTCAGGCAATAGGGAGAAGCAAGGGAGACTGTTTCATGGTTCAAACTGCTGTAAACCTGAAGAGACAAACATACTCTAGTTGCAGAGGCGACAGGATCTGCAGTACTGCTCATCTGTGTTTGTAACCAGATATTCTCTTTGATGCAGCTTGAAGGAGGTTGTAGCTTCTGACATGATAGAGCTGGTGTACTCTAAAGCATGTGGCAGTGAGATTGTTGTTGGTGACAAGCAGGAGTGGTGATTGGGTAAAATGGATGACTGTAAACGTCTGGATTGGGCTCTCTGTTGTGCCCTGTCACTGGCTTCTTGGTATTTACACCCTGTCTCTTAGGCTGGTATTTTAATTCATTCTAGTTAACACTGAGTGCACATAGCAGAACAACATTAGATTAACAATAGAAGAAGAACCACACACAAAATGTTACATTCACAAATAAATAGATACAATAGTGAAAGATGCACAGCAGTGTACGGAACCAAAACAGGATGAAGGGGTTTTCATTACTGCACCTTTTCAGCAACCTAAAATCTGTTTTCATTGCAGCACTTTGAAGATTACTCTGAACCAGCTTAAGTGATCGATTCTACAAAAGCTCTACTAAAGAATTAGCACTGAAGCTATAGCACAGTCTCTGGAATGACTTACTGATAAACAGCTTCAAAGTTGAAGTTATGTGACCCCAAATGGCTTCAGAGGGGA